AGTATGTATATTTTTTTTATTTATAATATAAAACTTTAACTAAATTAAATAATAATATTTATTATAATTTTTTTAGACACTTGTGACTACTTTAGAAAATTCATTAGATCCTAATAATAAAAGATTTCCACTTGCAGTTTCTAATATAATCAATGATTCAACATTTTGGCTTGATTTAAAAGAATTAGATGAACTTCTTTTACCATTTTGCGCTGCACTAAATAAATTACAAAAGGAATCTGCTCGACTATATGATATTATGCATGCATATGCATGGATGTTAAGTACAATACAAAAGAAGTCTGATTCTCCATTTCGATCTCATATGTTAATGCGGCTTGAAAAACGATGGAATCAATGGGAACAACCCTTACTTATTTTATCATGGCTTTTACATCCATCTTATGGTCTTGAAAAACTTAATATTCGATTACCTGGTTTATCTGCACCAAATCTTGCAAAATGGCTTGTTTATTATTATACTAATTGGTTTGGTACAAAACCAACAAATATTTTATTGAATTTAGAAGATTATCTTTCAAAAAATTCTCCATTTGATTTAGTTTCATTTGATCAATTTAATGGTGATATTCTTAAATATTGGCAATTTATTGCACGTGATAATCATAATGAACTTGCAAATATAGCATTAAGATTATTTGGAATTTGTATTAATAGTGCTTCTCTTGAAAGATTATTTTCAACAATGGGATTTCTTCATTCAAAAAGACGTAATAAATTAGGAGTAAGTAATATATTTTATTTTATATAATAATTAGTATAATAAGATATTAATATTTTTAATTTTTATATATTTTAGTATCAAAAAGTTCTTTCTATGAGTCAATTACGAGGAGAAATTTTAAGACAACGAAAAAATAATGCTATTAAGCAAAATATCAATACTGTTGTATCAACTCAAAGTGATTCTGAAGAAGAAATTGATAATGATAATATATCTAATTCAGAAACAGATCCTATTGAATTAGTAAATCAGTGGAATATAATTGTTGGAGATTGGCTTAATCTTTTAGATAATGAAGAATTTGAAAGTGAAGAAGAAATTGGAATGATTAACCATCCAGCAACTAATCAAGATGCAAAGTGGTCTCTTTTACAGATTTTTTCAGAAGGATTAGAATTTCCAACATTTTATGATTTATTAATAAATGAATCATAATATTATCGATAAATAAATATAATATGATTATTATATTAAAAAATATAAATAGTAAATAATATTTTAGTTTTAAATTCTATATTAAATAATAAAATATTATTTGAATTAAATATATATATAATGATTTTAATTGAATTTAAAAACCATTTTTATTTATTATTATAAAATTAAATATAATTATATGTCATAAAAAAGTCATAAAAAAATAAAAAATAAATGACTTTTTATGATTAAATGACCAGTCATATAACCAGTAGTCATAAAATCATAAAAACTAAAATACCAACACTGATATATGTTATGTACAACATTTACCGCAGTATAACTCTAAAAATAATTTTAATTTGTCTCGTCGTCTTTATATATGGTTACTTTAAAAGCAGTTAAACAAACGAGGACGGCAAATTAATAGCCTGGAGAGAATTTATAGATTGATCGAAAAACGTGATCTATCATTATATAAGTACATATATTAATTTCATCATCGAAGCGAATTGAAATCAAATGAAATTCATGCAAATAAAAAAAGCATCGATTATCATGAAAGAATTAAATAAAATCAACCCCGACGAATGTAATTAGTTCTTCACATTTATGCGATAAAAAAACTTATAAATATCTGTTGATTTAATTTGACTACAATTCCTCACCAAAGATGTAATTCAAAATCCTTTCTTCAATCAAAACTATTATTTTTTAATATTTGCAATATCCATATTAATGGTATCAGTATTATCACCAGAAACTTTTAAATTAAATAAATTGTATCATAAACATATCATTTCAAAATATCCAATTCATGAGTCAATTAATCATGTGCACGTATTTTTTCTTCATGTAACAAACCAGGTAAACGACTTCAAAAAAAAATCCTGGAATATCAGTAACACAGCAAGAAGCACATTAGAAAACGACACACATAAACACTACGATTAGTGGGAAGTTTATCGAGCATATGAATATGAAACAACAGATAATCTTGGAAATTTGTTTAGAGTTGAAGTTGAAGAGGCTCTCGTCATTCATAAACAACATGCCAAATTATACGACTTAGAAGTAGCGGAGGTTAGAACTCAAGATACAGAATCACAAGAAGATCTTTAATGCAGGGCTGGCCTTCAACAAGACAAGAAGAATCATGACTCTAATTCAATTGATACTGCAGGGATTGAGCAAAACCAACAACAGGATTTATTTAGATGTGAAACAATATCAACGAGTCCATGTTCTTCAATATGCTACAACCGGAATGATAATTAGTGAATATGAGGAAGAACGATTAGCCGAGTATCAATATCAATTAGAATTAGATGTATTCAATCAATGGGAATATTATAGCGAACGTGAAAATCAACAATCGACTGAATTGGCTTTGGGTTGAATCAACGAACCTGCGCATAAAGTCACATGAGTTAAAATGCAGAAAATCAATAGTTCGAAACGGAAATAAGAATATCCTCGTTTTATTGTTATATGGCGTGCGTGTTAATGTTGGAGGTGATCCTTTTTTTTTTTAATAGTAAAATAAATAAATAAATGTTTCTTTGTATAAAATTATTCATGCAGATAAGTTGATGGAACACAACTTTAAATTAGACCAGTTTTAGGTTTATTTGCAATGACTTGTAAATGGAATTTGTATTTCTGTGTGACGAGCATTGTGACAAAATTTGGTTTCTAAGCAAAGGTATCATCTCGCTTGCCGTTGATTTACATGTATACAATTACCGTGATACTAAACATGCTTTAAATTTGATTTGTTCTTAATAAAAATACATCCTTCTCTTTTTATAATAATCGCTGTTCAACATTCATGCATTATCATTCGTATCCGACACATAAACATGTCAAATTTTGACATTTATCACTTGAAAATCACTTCCTTTCTTTTTTTATTTATAGGATTTACAATACTCATTATCAAACGGCAATCTCCGAACCAAAAAGTTGTGTCAACCAAATTTTTTTTCGTGGATAATTGATTCCGGATATTTTATTTTTGGGGTTTTGGCAACAAAATCAAATGATCTAAACCAAAATTAGACCTTTGGAATTCTGTGCAGCCAGGTGGTTTAAAAATTTTTTTTTTTTTATCAAAAAAAAAAACCCCCCATCTGATTGACCAAGAGTAACACAAGAACAATTATCATGCTAGGAAGTTTAATAATGCATCCATGTTTACTTAATAAATGTACCTGTCTCAATATATATTTATTACATCTTAATTAGGTTATATTTCCCTTTTTTTTCTTGCAAGGAATGAATTCACTGGTCTTCCATCTTCGATTAATTCAACTTCATCTTTTATAACCTCAAATTCTTTTCGAAATTTAATGTCAAGTTCACCAAGCTCTAATCTATTAGAATTACTTTTTGGATTCTTATAAGTATGTTTTCCATCATTAACGAACGTGCTAATTAAAAGAAATCCATCGGGTTTTACGAGATTTGCCATAGTTGATAAGAATTCTCGGTTTAAAAAACGAATTGTTAGTACGAGATCATATTTTTTATTTAAAAATTCAATTTGATTTTCCATGATGATTTTTTTATCTAATTTTGGTCGAGTATCAACCTCACTATTACCATCGACTTTTGATAGCGACATTTGTGGTGGTGTTGATAGTTCTTGATTTTTTTTGACCGATCCATTTGCCATGATTTTAACATGAACGGTTTGAATTTTATCCAAGACGCCTGACCTTGATGTCAATTGTCTTGTGCGATCCAAAGCTCTAGACATTGAGTCTATTGCAGTAATACGCCAATCAACCGTTTGACGCAAACTTAACCATGCAACATCTCTTCCACTTCCACATGCAACATCAAGACAATTAAAAACATGATTCTTTGATAATGTTTTGAGTGATTCTTCGATGAAATCTATATTATTCATCAAGAAAGGACTAGGTTGAAATAATACCCATCTAGATCGATTTGAATAAAGGTTTAATTCATCTTTTTCGGTGTCGTAATTTTTTACGCTATCATTATTTTTGTCAATTTCTTCTAAAATTCCAAGCTCTCTACTAACTTTCCATAATTCTTCTCCCTCAATTAGGATCCAAGGAACATTCCAGCCTTGGTCTATTAGCAATTTATGAGTAACTCCCCTGTGGCCATGGGGTTCTAATACTGCAAACGGTAAAGATTTTGGGGGGAGTTCAAATAAATGTTTTTTAATATTAGCGAGAGGAATGCAAGTTGAAGGAATAATTCTGCGAGTATAATGATCGTGCAAGGGACGCAAATCGAGTAATAGCTGCCTTTGGGAATAACAAAGCCAGTGATGCAAAGTGGATTTGAAGGAAATATGGGTCATAATTTTTTATTATAAATTAGGAAATGCACGCATATATTTAGATGGTGACATGAAGCTGTACCACATACAAGTTTTCGGTCTGGTTCAATTAATTATATTAATTATATTAATTATAAATTCTTGATTACTTAACTAGATATATTAGATAGTACTTTATCCCCCGAATAATGTGACACAACTATTGATCTATTGATGCTGCATAAGGTTGATGTTTAAATGCTTTTAAAAAAAAATCGCACTGTTTGTGATATAGATAAATGACACAAAAAGAAAAGACGACTTTTTGACAGGTAGTGATGTCATACAAATGTGGTGCACAAAACTTACAGAGACTCCGAAAAGTAAAAAATTGACATATCAGACATATGATGCCGTTTGAAACATCCAACTGAAAAAAAAAAAATTTTTTTTTTTCCCTTGCGCTTCCTCCTTTTTTATACACATGCAAAAAAAAAAAAATTAAAATAAAATAAAATAATAATCATAATAATAATAATAATCAAAGTACTATTAAATTTTTAATTCGTAAAACGCGACTTTTCGTGTTAATAACAATTACCACCAGGTGTAACGCTAGAGTGTACCCTAATTACGACTATTTTACTACGAATTTTTTTTTTTTTTTTTTTTTTTTGAAACAAGAAACCTGTCTTTTTGGATTCGTTTACAATCGCATACAAATTATAAAAGCTTTATTTCGAACTTTATCAGATAGATTATCATTATCGTATTAAAATTCAACCCTATATCAAATTCTTTGAAGAAATAATAACCGACTTCATTGTATAGAAAGAGAGGAAATATACTGACAATGACACATCCTTCTTCAGTTCAAAGAACTGTTTACCCACAAAACTCATTTTACCCAGAAACTCTTCCACAACCAACTACCTCCTCCCCATCTCGCCCACCCCAGCCGCAATCACAATCAGCTCAGGTTCTTCCTGGAACATTTCCAGCAACGGCTCGTGGCACATATCATCAACAACAACTACCTCCAGGCCAACAGTCTTTGCCTCACTACCACCCTCCACCAGCCGCCCACCTTCACCCGCCTACTTCACCACCACTAACACCCTTTCCTTCAGAAATTAACGGTAACACTAGAGCACGCCCAGACAACGCAAATGGTTTACTTAAAAAAGAAATGTACGAATATAAGGCTCCATGGCCTGTGTACGGCTTAGATTGGTCTAAACGACCTGGTGAAAAAGCTTTTAGATTGGCCTTGGGAAGTTTCATTGAAGATTCCTCTAATAAGGTTCGTCGTCCATTTACCTAAGCATTATAACTTTATCATATTTTTTTTTTTCTCTTGTTCATTCAAAAAGTACTCGCGAATGCTTACCGGAAGGCATAAAATTATTGCCTTTATCCCATCGCAACGTTCCTCAATCATTCAATCATATAGTATATTAGTCATTTATTGATTGTGCCTCCGACAATCTTCAATGATCAATGTTGATAATCGATATTCAAACGCAGGATCAAGCTTGATTTCCTGTAAATAGTTTGAGCATACATTCACAAAAAAAAAGATGTGGCGATATTTATTGGGCTTTATTATTTTATGATTTATGAATTAATCAATAATTTTTGATATTTTAATTTAATATCAAAAGCTGCAAATTATTACGCTATCCGAGCTGGCTTATGACGACCCTTACCTTAGACCTTCTAATACCGACTTTGTAAAAATCGCCGAAACAGAACATCATTACCCAATTACTAAAGTATTATGGGAGCCATTCAGGGTTAGTTTTTATCGGTTCAAAATCGTAGGTTGATCAAATTTGATTAATTACCTATTCTCAATTTACAGGGAGGTTTAAATACTCCTGACTTATTAGCAACAGCTGGTGATCACTTGCGATTGTGGGAAATTACAGATGAAATAAGTAATCCAAGTAACACTATTGGTGCTAATAATCACACAGGATTCAGACAAAAAAAATTAATTCACAAGATAATGTTGTCCAATGTAAGGTTTAACGAAAATATTCTCGGACAGAATTATTTTTCTAATGATAATGAGAAATGAATAATAATTAATCTTCGATTAGACAAAAGCTGATTTCAATGCTCCACTCACATCCTTTGATTGGAATGAACTTGATCCGACATTGGCGGTAACATCAAGCATTGATACGACCTGTACCGTTTGGAATGTTGAGACAAAGCAAGCAAAGACGCAACTTATTGCTCATGATAAAGAAGTTTATGATGTAGCATTTGCGACTGGCTCTACCGATATTTTTGCCAGTGTTGGTGCAGATGGAAGTGTTAGAATGTTCGATTTGAGGTTTAAGTCATTTCCTACAACTTTCGCTTTAGATAAGAACTTTAGAAAGGAAACTAAACTTTTTATCATGTTTAATAGATCGCTGGAACATTCCACTATTATATATGAAACGGCTATACCAAATCCTTCACAAGTTAACATGTCTGTTTCCAACCCAACTCAACCCTCTCCATTACTCAGGTTATGTTTTAATAAAATCGAGTCACAATATTTGGCCACTTTTCACATGGACTCTGCAGATGTCCAAATATTAGACGTGAGAGTTCCTGGTGTTCCTGTTGCAGAATTAAGGGGCCATTCGTCAACTGTTAATTGTGTCAATTGGGCACCACATCATAGCGGACATCTTTGCAGTGGCGGTAAGTAATTACGATATATTATTATTATTATTTGATATAAATAATTATCCTCCCGTAATTAAATTTGATTATTTTTTTGTCTTTATAGGAGATGATTCTCAAGTGCTGGTTTGGGATATAAATATCATGTCGCATAATGGTGGTGTCAACAGATATAATCAAGATCCAATTTTAGCTTATAAAGCTGCTAATGAGATTAGTCAGTTAAGTTGGAGTTGCAAGTGCCCTGATTGGGTAGCGATTGGATTTGGAAATACTGTACAGGCTTTGAGAGTATAACACAGTAAAATTTAATTCATAAAAGGAGTTCTGTGTGTTTTGATCAATAATCAATTATTTCTTGAATGTAAATAACATTCGTTGTTTTCAAGGGGCAAGTATGGGCTGGATTCTCTTGTATGCTCCATCATTTATTATTATAATAAGGAATTTCTTATGATTAATTCCACATTGTCAATTTCATTTATTCGACATTTATTTTTTTTTTTTTCGCCGGTATTCTGACTATTTTAACACATATTTTTATTCTATTAGTATTCATATAAGTTTACATAACTATTCGTAACTTTCATTGAAAATTTTTAGCCTATGTTGATATTCCATGTACATTTTTTAATGAATTTGTTAATTTCGGGTTTACCAACTTAAAAAGGCGCGGAATTTCTTGTAAATAGAATTTTTCTCAACTTTCTTTTTTTCATATTTTGTTACCATCACAATTATTTCATTTTTCGTTTATTTGTGGTAGTATTACTGTGCTCAAGTTTTTTTTTTTTCATATTTTATTTTTTTTAATCTTGATATATATATATATATATATATATTTATTTTATTTATTTAATTTTTTTTTTTTTTCCAAACAAAAGAAAAAAAGGAACTAAAATAATTATATATACAAACTTATATATATATATAAAAAAAAAAAATTGCAGATAAATATATTATATATTGAGTTATATTCTAAGTTTTATAAATATTGAAATGAATTTGTTATATATAATATATAATTTAACAAAAAAAAAATTTACTAATAAACAGCTTATTAAATTTATATTGATAATAATTATAATTTTATCCATTTAGATATTTGATATAGTCAAAAAAAAATATATATATATTTTTATTATATGTTTAATTTTTATAAAATATCTTATTAATTTTTTAATTATATGTTTATTAATACTTGTAAATAAAAATTTATTTAGATATGATTATAAGTTTATATTTACTTTAATTTAATAATTATATATAATGATAATTTATTTGATAAATATTAATAATAATATAAATTATTCTATAATTATTAAAACTGAAATTATAATTTATAAACTTAAGTAATTATATATATATTTAAAAATTTAAATTTAATTAGATATAAAAATTTTAATTATAAAGTATAATTATTATTATTATTAGATAATTAATAAAAATTACATTCACTTAAATTTTATGAAAATCAGAATTTATTTAATTATTATATTTAAATATTGTTATTCAACTAATGATTAAGTAAACTGAAACATATAATCAATTAAATAATAAGATTCAGCTTAATCTTTTAATATTTTAGAATAGATTTTAATTAAATTATATTTTATTTAATCCCGATTTTCACAATTAAATTTCTGAATTAATAAGTAAAAAACTTCTAATTCATTTATAAACAATTTGTGAGTTTCTTTTATATTTAAGAAAATACTTTAATAATGTTGTAGTTAAAGATGGGAACTGTAATTAATATGTTGCAACTTTTAACCTATATATGTTGCAACTTATAATGTTGCAACGTATGTTGTAACTAATTTTAGCTTATGTTGCAACATTTTGTAAATTTGAAATCAATTGCTGTATCATCTTTAGTTGTAGTCATCATAATTCTTATTATACAAATTTATAACATTTTTAAATTCAATAGCTTTAATATAGCTTATACTTTTTTAACTATTTCTGCTACTTATCATCAAAAGGATTTGTATTACAAATTAATATTTAATTACTAAGTATCCATTTCTTATACTTTAAGTAATAATTTATCTTATCATTATTTTCTAATGTTATTATTATCCTTCTATCATTATATTATATTTCTTCTTATAAAAATTTCATATGTCATTAACTTTTTTTTTATAATATTTTTTTTTACGTTACTATTATTTTCTTATATTTTTTTTATATTACTGTTATTTTTCCTTATTTCTTCTTATATTATTTCTTACATTAATATTGTTTTTCTATAATATTTTTTATATTATTATTTTTATTTTATTAATTCTGATAATATAACTTTTTATTTTATTTGACTTTATTTTATTAATATTTAAATAATTTAACATTTATAAACAAATAAAATAACTTTATTTACTTTTACGACTTTGATATTTAATAACTTAACACTTTAGACAAAAGTCTTTTATTTATTTATGTTTCAAAGTTTATTAATTAAAATTATTTCTTTTTTTTATTTTATATTATTATTTTTTTATTTTTTCAATTAATATTATTTACTTGATACAAATTATTTATTATTTATATTATTTTCTAGATTTATATTTTATTCTACTTCCTATAATCATTTTTGAAATATTTCATTTAACTATTTTAGTAATATATATATTACTTGTTCTGTTTCTATTCTTTTTCTGTAACTTTTTTTTATAATGTTTACCATTATTCCTAATAAAAATTAAATATATATTATATATGTAAATTATTTGTTTTTTTTTATAAATGCATATATGTAACACTAGTTGAAATAATTTATTTTATCACTTTTTTAAATGCCGAATGTTGGCCAAAATATAGTTTAATTTCTACTGATCATTGCTAAAAAAAATCAGCATTTTAGTTATATCCAATGATGCTTATTTTCATGCTACACAAAAAATCATTTGAAATTAATGATTGGTAATTATTTAATATATATATCACTAGGTAAAATAATTTTTTTTTAATTGTTAACAATACAGTCTAGCCACAGTATTTTATTTGTATTATAAATTGAAGAAAAAAAAATTATAAAAAAAATACTAAAATATGCAACTTACCTCCTATGGTTCTATTTCAAACTTGGTTGAGTCGACTGATCACTACTACCCTCTAAAAGGGGTGGAAATAAAGTGTCAGAAAGCATCTAATTTCTAAATGTCCGTCGAACTCTAACTTCCTTCAAAAGAAAATTCTAACACTAAAAAAACACCCGAAGTAGGGAATTGACACAAATAGAAATTTACAAACAACTAAAAATAACTTTATAAATCCTAGTTAAAGTCTAATCAATTTTAGCTTAAAACGACCACCTAGCAGAAAAAGGTGCGTCTAAGTAACTAGGTCCAAACAAAGGCTCTTCATATTTATAGATTCATAAGTACAGAAAAAATATTCACTACGAAAAATCTACAAAATATCTACAGATAGTAACCTATACCCTTTACCTGGTAATCAGGAAGGCATAAATCTAGACAAAGCAAACTTACACCTGTAAGGATCTTGATAACAAAGGAAAACTGTGGTTCTATTTCAAACTCGTGAAGACCAACAAAAATACCAGACCAAGTGGTAGCTACTATCACTCTAAATAGATGACGTCTGAAAATACCAAAGTAGATATAACGCTAAATTTGCACGTAACCTTCAACGACAGAGGATCTGCAGAAAGGCAGAAGCCAATCAAAAGAGAGTATATTGTTTAGAAAGGGAAGGGGAATCATCATGTGAGATTTGTTTATCCAAAGTATATCAATCATGATCATTGGTTCAAATATCCCTTGATGCTCACTTTTTGTAGGCAAAAAGAAAAAGAGAAAAAAACGGAAATAATTTTTCGAAAAAAGGTGAAGAAAAAATATTTTAACAAAAAACAACACAGTTTAGACTATTTCAAAAATTTTTATATGGAGAGGGGTGTGAGGAACAAAGAGAGAAATATTTTTGAAAGGTGAGGTTTTTAATTTTATTCACAGGTTAAGCTGTGACACAGCCGCCTTTAAACGGATATTTTTTTAAAGTAAAATTCTTGAAAAAAATCCAACAAGAAGAAAGAGTTTTTATATTATTAGGTAAAATAATTTTTTTTTAATTGTTAATGATGCAGTTTAGCTGCAGTACTTTATTTTGTATTGAAAATTTAAAGACAAGAATCTAAAAAAAATACTAAAATATGCAACTTACCCCCCGTGGTTCTATTTCAAACTCGTTTGAGTCGACTGATCACTGCCACTCCCTGAAGGGGGTGGAAATAAAGTGTCAGAAAGCATCTAATTTCTAAATGTCCGTCGAACCCTAACTTCCCTTAAAAGAAAATTCTAACATTAAAAACAACACCCGAAGTAGGGAATTGACATAAATAGTAATTTACAAACAACTAAATATGACTCTATAAAAAACCTAAATATCCAGTTAATTCCGGATATAACGACCATCTGATTAAAGAGAGTGCGTCCAAAACAAAGGTTTAAACAGAGGCTCTT